CATCATGTTGTCAAAGAGGGTTTTTAAGTGGGGAAGTCGCCGTTACACAAGTTTTTAGAGAAATTTTGTTCGAGCCTCCATGTCTGTTCTCTGTGGTCGTACGATGAGTCTTTCCAGGTTGAGCCTCAATCGGTTCTATCGGCTGCTAGTTCAACGCTTATCGACGGTTTCGCTTTACATGGCCTCACGCAGATCAATCGAATAGGAACACTCGCTTTCTAGACCTTGTTCTGTTTAACGAAGCTGCAACTCTAGCATGCACCGTTTCGGAAACCATAGAACCTCTGATTAGACGTCCTGATGAACCTCCCAGCGCCAATCGTTTTTGAGGATTGTTCCGAAAATAATCGTACACTGGATTTCCGTTTAGCCGACTATGTTGCGATTTGTGCTGCTATTTTCGGTATCGACTGGCGATCATTAGAATTAGCTGGATGTGTTGTCGATGCCGTTGAATATTTCAATCAAATTATTTGGGATATCATTCCAATTGCCCACCCCGCACCAAAGCCACCGTGGTCTAACAGTCACTTGCGTCGACTGAAACGGTATAGGGCTAAATCACTAAAAAGATACTGCCAAAATCGTTCGTACATTACGAAACAGGAGTTCAACCGCACAAGTAACGACTATAGGAAATACAACAGATTCCTGCATCGACGATATGCCTTCCGTACGCAATCATCTCTTCGCAGAAATCCAAAGCGTTTCTGGTCGTTTGTGAACTCTAAAAACAACGAAGTCGGTTTGCCATTGTCAGTTCATCTCGGTGAGCAAACTGCTAAATCTGATCGGGAGAAATGCCGCCTTTTCGCTCAACATTTTATGAGTTCGTTCAATGAATCTTCGGCCTCACCAAATCAAGTCACGATTGCTATAAGCGATTCTCCAACAGATGCATTTGAGCTCTTTGCGTTTCACATCAGTGAACATACCGTCAATCTAGCTCTTCAAAGATTTAAAATTCTCGTTTGCTGCCGGGCCACTCCTGCGTCCGTTCTGAAGCTGTGTTCGGAGTCGTTGCTCACTCCATTGGTGAAGTTATTTAATCTGTCACTACAGGAGAGCAAATTTCCTGAGGCGTGGAAATTTTCGTATGTGTTCCCCGTCCACAAGAAAGGCGATAAGAGGAATGTCCAGAATTTCAGAGGCATCACTATATTGCTGCTCCAAAGTATTCGAGATCATCATCAATGAGGCGCTCTTCAGCTCTTGAAAAAAATACATCTCCACGGCTCAGCATGGATTCTACCCAAAACGATCAGTTACAGCCAATTTGACCGACTTCGTGTCACTCTGCGTTCGGACCATATGGACTCTGGCGGACAAATCGACACTGTTTACACTGATCTCAAGGCTGCATTTGACCGAGTAGACCTCAACATTCTGTTGAGCAAGCTTGAGAAACTCGGAGTGTCTGGATCCTTCATCTCGTGGTTCAAATCTTACCTTACGAACCGTTCGCTTTGCGTTAAGATTGGAGCCTTTCGTTCTGAAGTGTTCACGAACGTTTCCGGCGTTCCGCAAGGAAGTAATCTGGGACCCCTTCTGTTTTCGCTTTTCGTCAACGAGCTTTCGTGTCTACTGCCACTTGGATGCCGGCTATTCTACGCTGACGATGTCAAAATGTATGTGGTTATCATTTGCATCGCTGATTGTGAGGAGTGCAGCTGACTGTGGATCGTATGCAGAGTTGGTCCTCTCGTAACTTCTTGACGCTCATCAACAAATGCAATGTGATATCATTTCACCACAAACAAAACCCGATAATATTTGATTATTCCATTTCCGGGCAAACATTAGAGAGGATTAGCCAGATCAAAGATCTGGGAGCAGGCATGGAAAATCATTTAAATTCATTTCATGCATTCATTTACATTCATTTGCCTCTAACTTTTTTCATCAACAGAATTCCGCAAAATAGTACAAATTGCGTTTGTAGGTATTATTATTAGCTACAATTTTTGTCCAAAACAGAAAACTGTATCTCTTATGCATCACGAACTAGAGCGAGCACAACTTGCTACTGTTTTTCAGTGAATGTAAAATACATTCACTGAAAAACAGTAGTGACTTCTGTTCGCTCTGGTTCGTCATGCATAAGAGATACGGATTTGAGCTGTTGACAAAAGTTGTAGCTAATAACAAAGCCTACAAAAACTCCATATATTGTTTTACGGAATTCTGTTGATGAAAAAAGTTAGGGACAAATGAATGTAAATGAATGCACGAAATGAATGCAGATGATTTTCCATATCTGTTTGGGAGTAACACTCGACTGTGAATTGACCTTCAAACCGCATTATAAGGACATCCTGACTAAAGTTAACAGGCACCTTGGCTTTAAGGTGTATTCAGATCTAAGCGTACATTAGCGGAGCGGAGCAAAATTTGCGTTATAACGAGAGAGACAGCTTGTACTTTTCTCCCTCTCGTACTTTCGCAAAATCTCTCTCCGCGCGTGAAATATCGCTCAGATCTGAATACACCTTTATGTTCAAAATATCTGAAGACTTTCGCGATCCGCTTTGCCTGTGGGCGCTGTATTGTTCGTTAGTACGTTCAATCTTAGAGTATGGGGCTGCCGTCTTGTGCCCGTACCAAGCATGCTGGATAGCCAGATTTGAGAGTGTACAGAGAAAGTTTGTTCGCTACGCGCTTCGTCATCTGCCCTGGCGTGACACGGCTAACTTGCCGTCTTACGTGGATCGCTGGAACAAAGAAGACGGAACGTTCAAGCTGTGTTTGCTGCTAAGATCATTACCAGCGAGATTGATTCCCCCGAATTACTTCGGCAGCTTTTCGTTTACGCACATATGAGAGAGTGATTAGACAGCGTAATTTTGAACATCTCGCAGCTCGTAATCGGCGATATGGGTTGAATAAACCTATCGGTGCCGCCGCTAATGCGTTTAATGAAGGCTATGCATTGTATGAATTTAATGTGCCGTTAACTGTTTTTATTAGAAGACTGTCCTGAATTAGAATGTGCCCTGTTTTTGTTTTAATAATACTTTTTTAATTCATTAAGACAACCATATGTCAGATGAATCATTGAAATAATAAATAAATAAATAATATAGTAATATATAATAAATATTAGACCTGTTCATTTTAAACGAAATGTTCGGAATGTAACGGGTCAACCGTGATTACTGTTCGTCGTGTTAATTTGAACTTCTGTGCAAATTTTCAGCAAAATCGGTGATGATTTAGAGGTGCTTCAAGTTAATTTTATGTTTTTAAGGTAATTTACGGCTTACAATATTTGTATCTCGAGACTGAAACAACGAAAGCTGCTGTAACAACTTTCATAGCAAAGTTTAATGTGTTATGTATCAACTTTGTAACCAAAGGTTGACTATTCGAAGTGATTTTATTGAAGTTTGACTTAGTTTCATGCTCGAAGATATCTTAAAAAGTGAAGAATTTTAAAGTATTTGTTCTACGAATTTTCCACCCATATGATATAAAAATGTGTAGTGTACGACATAATGTTCCTCATATTGTTCTAGAAGTTTCGTTCCAACATAGTTTTCGTGTATATTTCATAGATTGAGAGATAAAAATCAGAAAAGAGGCCGTTTTAGCAAAAATTCACAAGACAACAGAACCAATAAAAGTCAATTAGATTGACAGAACATAGTTGCATTGCTTTTCAATGACGACCGATGACTGTTTCATTGATATATGATTTTTTCATAAATATGAATCCTCAGTAGACGTGTTTTTTTTATCAAAGGCAAGTGTCACTCGAGCCATTCAAATGTTCGTTATTTTATAAATTGCTGTTATGGTTCGAGTGACACTTGCCTTTGATAAAAAAACACGTCTACTGAGGATTCATATTTATGAAAAAATCATATATCAATGAAACAGTCATCGGTCGTCATTGAAAAGCAATGCAACTATGTTCTGTCAATCTAATTGACTTTTATTGGTTCTGTTGTCTTGTGAATTTTAGCTAAAACGGCCTCTTTTCTGATTATTATCTCTCAATCTATGAAATATACACGAAAACTATGTTGGAACGAAACTTCTAGAACAATATGAGGAACATTATGTCGTACACTACACATTTTTATATCATATGGGTGGAAAATTCGTAGAACAAATACTTTAAAATTCTTCACTTTTTAAGATATCTTCGAGCATGAAACTAAGTCAAACTTCAATAAAATCACTTCGAATAGTCAACCTTTGGTTACAAAGTTGATACATAACACATCAAACTTTGCTATGAAAGTTGTTACAGCAGCTTTCGTTGTTTCAGTCTCGAGATACAAATATTGTAAGCCGTAAATTACCTTAAAAACATAAAATTAACTTGAAGCACCTCTAAATCATCACCGATTTTGCTGAAAATTTGCACAGAAGTTCAAATTAACATGACGAACAGTAATCACGGTTGACCCGTTACATTCCGAACATTTCGTTTAAAATGAACAGGTTTAATAAATATATAATAACCAATTATTGGGTTATAGAGGATTCATATAAATGTAAGCTCAAAACCATTCAATACACCGTCAACCATCCATCTTCATCGCCCCAGATTCGAAACTTGGATAATTTATCTTTTCGTCAACATGGTCCTCGAAAATGTCCACTTCCTAGAACAATCATTTTTCAACCAGAAAATTACAACACTTTACCTCTTCTTTTCCGCTCGTCCAACAATGAATGGAATAGATGAATTGCCATATTTATGCCGCAATTTCACGGCATAGAATGACATAAATCGCACAACTTTTCCACTTCGACTTAGCTGAAAATTTTTGCACACAACCAGCGTCATCGTCATCCGCACCACTCACTGACGCTGACGGGTTCGATTCTCTACGGTGATTGAAGAACGCTGTCGGTGAGATAAGCAAACTTTCCGGGTAAATTCAAGTTCTATACAATCTTTTTTTTGCAGCAAACTCAGGTCCATCGTTGCATGCTGCTGCTGGTGAACGAAATTGAATAGATTCGGTTAGCTGCCATGAATGACTTACCAGTTTCGGTTCGTTTCGTTGGAAGAATCGCTTTTCATATTCACGGAAATAAATTGCACAAAGTTGCTCGATTTCCATCAAATCCTTCGCTAGGAGGAATCTGGAATTGAAGAGAATGCAGAAAAGGAGAACAGAATGTTAACAGCTGCTTGCGTTGATTTTATTTTTAAATCTATAGAAGGCAGAGCGAACAATCCCAGTCCTTGGAAAAGTTGTCAAGATTTAAGGATTTCTTTATTTTCTTAATACTCTGCACGGTCGTACAGACCGATTCAAAATTGAGTCGACGGAACTCAATTCGAAATTCAAAGTGGATTTACTCAAAAGGGAGTTGAATTTTTCCGATAGATGTTTCACTCAGTCCATAAGTATACTTCTGGACTGTAAAAGATTTTCATGGATTTTCCTCATATTTCCTGGTTTTCCGCGGGTTTTGCTTGGAAAATTCAACTCAGTTTTGACTCAGTCTGATCGACCGTGGGGTCTGCAACAGATCGTAAATAAGCTTATTTACTAAAAGTTTGTTATTGAACAGAACTTTTCTGCTGACGCCAACTTAGGGGAGGGGCGTCACAGTTTTACCATCCTCCACCCCACCCCAATAGTTTTCTAAATTCAATATTAACCATATGTTAAAAGTCCTTTTGCCCCCTCCCCCAATGCTTGAGTCAAATTTGCGCTACTGGCGGTGATGGTTTATTACAACGCGCAACTTATCGTTAAAATTGATTTCAACCAATACGAATGAAACGGCACACGTGGAAGCAGCAGGGTTTTTTTTTTTTTAACTTTTGGACAAATTGGCGGAAGGTTCTCAAAATTTTATGAACGTTTACGCACAGGTAGATTTTATGGTTATATGAACGAAAACAAAAATTAAAAAATAATCGGGGAGCTTAATTTTTCTGGAAAATTTTAGTTCAAGCTTTCAAGGATTTTCCCGGACATTACGTACTTTGGAAAAAAATATATCACGCAAAATATCACGAAAAAAAAAAAATATTTCGAAAACCATGCACCCTACCAGAAAAAAAAAATCCTTTTTGTGTAGGGGTGGTTCTCTATTTTAAAATTAAATTTTTTGGATTTTTATTTTTAATGATTAAAGGAATCAACAACGTTATAGATAATCTAAATTCAAGCAACATTGCTAAAAAAAGATCAAAATTCTGTCTCATGCACATATCATTCTCTGATTTTTTTTCGAAACTCTATTAGGGTGGTTTTGAAGAAAAAACAGCTTTTTTTTATTATAGTCTCTTTAACACTCTTGGGTCATTCGTGACTTGTCCGGGGGTGAGATTTGAACTCGTGACTTTGGCGTGAGAGGCATGAATGCTAACCACTACGCTGGGGTCGCCCCCTTACAACAGTTTTGTTGTACTGTAACTTTTTTATTTTGATTTCATTTTGAGAACCATCTTCGGATGACTTCAAGAGCATGAGAGGACACATCTTTTGAAGGTTGTTGATGATGTAGATCCTCTTTTATTAGGACACTTTTCTCCAAAAGGAGCAAACATGAGCAAAACTTTTACGCATATTCTGAAAGTTGTTACGATGTAATTATATTTGAGTTTTTTGTGTTACAAATGAATTAAGTTATACGCGTAACAAAGAAGAACGGGAGTCCTTTTTTGCATCGAACTCAAAGATGAACGGCAACGGCAATCCAAAACCGTACCGCTTACTGCAAGCGAAAGGCCTTTTCATTCGAGTTTTCAGCAGCAAAGCATAGACTTCTCTGCCACCGTTAGTATTAGCAACCGGTGGAAACTAACGATTTAAAATTGGCTCACTACTTGACTAGCCTATTGGTCCCAAGCAAATCGATTAACGTACCCCATTCTAGTCGAAATTCTAGTACTACAAAATGTTTGTTTTGATTCGCTATGAAAGTTTGACAGATAATATAAGGGGTTCGTGGATTTTCCTATGTTTCGAGGGTCGATATACCACGATATATAGCTTGGGACGAAGGTAGTACCAGAACTGAGCCAACAAGTTGAGCACGTGTCTTCGGGACCTTCTGGTCTTAGAGTTACCTCTATGGTATTAGCATAGAGCTAACTGTTTTACATTGTTAGTCTAGCACTTTTGGTTTAGAGAGATCTTGCGGCAAGAAGTCTATTACTGCATGATCGAATAAGATACACCACACGCACACCATCACACCTTTCGACGGTCAAGTGTGTACGACGGCAGCAGGCAGAGTAACATTTAGCAATTATGTTCAACTGCAGGTGACGTAGGTGAGTTATTTAGTGCTCAAATTTCCCAATTTAGTAGAGATTAATCTTTATTTAATTGAGCGTATTCTATTTACTGTTGCCCTTTTTGCCATTTTCACCGCTCACATTCAAATTATTAAAATAAGCTTCCTATTTGTTTATTGCCTTTTCTTCATTTCTATTGCAACTTTTGTTTTGTTTATTGGTGCACCCCTGTAGTATTTAGTAGCCAATTTGAGATTTTTAATTGCTTGTGCTTTGTTAATTAGGGTACGTATATATTTTTTTTCCTTCGGTTTGTTTTCCGTCGATCTTGTTTTCCGTGCTGAGCACCAATGCTACCGACGCCAGGAAGGCAGCTCCCACACCTGTACCCTACCTACCGACCCATCAACTCATGAACCGGGGGACCAACGGGTTTACTTCCCATCCGAAGGAAGGCGTGATCAGAGATGTTATGCCTCAGAACATCCCGGCGGCACCGACTGGAATTGAACCCAGGCCTGCTGGGGTGAGAGGCAATCACGCTTACCACTACACCACCGGCGCCGCTAATTTGACAGTTAGACAATAGATTTAGCTGTCACTTTACGAATCTAATGTGGGTGGCTCTTCACAGTGGTTAACAGAATGAATACTCATAGATCATAAAACCACTGATTGTGACTCTCTGAAAGCAAAATCTCGCAGCGATCATCAAATCTCTGATTGTGACTGCCCATTTTTTAATGTGCCCATTTTGCTCATTTTTCTGCAAGTTGTATGAAAATCTAGCTATACATAACTAAAAAAAAAATTTCGATTGTTCCTTCCATATTGAACGATCTGCCTCTGATCAAACAAGCAAAAATGGCACTGCTTCCAGCCTACAAACCCAAGATCATCAAGAAGCGTACGAAGCAGTTCATCCGCCACCAGTCAGATCGCTATGACAAACTTGCCCACAACTGGAGCAAGCCGAAAGGTATCGACAACCGAGTGCGTCGTTGCTTCAAGGGCCAGTACCTGATGCCCAACATCGGTTACGGATCGAACAAGCGCACCCGTCATATGCTGCGCAATGGCTTCAAGGAGTTCCTGGTCCACAACGTTCGCGAACTGGAGGTGCTGATGTTGCAGAACCGTATCTACCCGATTACTTTAAAATTGATGCACCCCTTGTTAAATATAACTAAAGCAAGCAACAGCAAGTACACGGCCTTTGAGAATAACTCAAAGATAGAGTCACTTACCATACATGTTTTGTAGTGTCAGGTACTCTATTTTGTAACCTGTGAAAGGGAAACCACAAATCGAGTGTCAACAAAATACATGGCATGTTGAGAGATTGAGCTCGTGAGAAAGAATTTCTCCCTCAAATTTGAATTTTTTTGGCTCTCTGGAGACTGGTAGTAAAGCAGGTAAAATTGTATGGGAAAAAATCTTTTTTATTTAATTGTAGCTTGTTTAGCATTAATTTCCGAGGAAAAACTGAACGACAAAGCCCCTGACTAATTTCTTTAGGTTGTCGTTCACTTTTTTTTGACCTGAATATGCACCGAAAGCGAATTATTCCCACTTCTCTCAATTTCTTTATGGGGATTTTTATCACTTCCTAACAGTGGAACAGCGCCATCTCCGTGGAAAATGGTCGAATAAAATGATTAATTGACGAATCCAACTTAAACTAATGCGCGCCTGGTGACAGGAAAAAGCACTATCCGACGGTGATCAGCTAGTGGCAGCCCTTGGAAATTTCATTATTTTTTATGGAAATTTGTTTAATTACAGTGCTAGTTCGTGTAAATATGCTATTAAAATGAATGAATCATGTACAAAACCTAAAAAAAAACTATTTCTGAACTAAACCTTAACTAAAGGGTGATACGGTCAAAATTTGGTCAAGTGTAAATCGGTGAAATCGTTTATTTAAAAAATCAAATTAAATTTCTTTTTCAAGTTCAATTAGTATAAAATTCAGGAAAAATATTCAGTTAGGCTTCCGCTTTTCCAAATCCGAATTGCCGGGCCTTACGCTTGACCCCTGCCATCAGATTTTGTACAGCCACCTTGTCCACCTTCTTCGCCGCAGAAAGCCAGTTTGCCTTGAACTGCTGCTCGCCCTTAGCAGTTTTTTTGGTCTTCTTTAGGTTCCGCTTGACAATAGCCCAGTATTTCTCAATTGGGCGGAGCTCTGGCGTGTTGGGAGGGTTCTTGTCCTTGGGAAACACCTGCACGTTGTTGGCGGCGTACCACTCCATGGCCTTTTTACCGTAATGGCAAGATGCCAAAGCCGGCCAAAACAGTACGGAACAACCGTGTTTCTTCAGGAAAGGCAGCAGACGTTTATTCAAACACTCTTTCACGTAAATTTCTTGGTTGACAGTCCCGGAAGCTATGAAAATGCTGCTTTTCAAGCCACAGGTACAGATGGCTTGCCAAACCAGATATTTCTTTGCGAACTTTGACAGTTTCATGTACTTGAAAACATCTGCTACCTTTCCCCTTCCTTTTGCCGTATAAAACTCCTGTCCCGGAAGCTGCTTGTAGTCGGCTTTGACGTAGGTTTCGTCGTCCATTACCACGCAGTCAAACTTCGTCAGCATCGTCGTGTACAGCCTCCGGGATCGCGCTTTGGCCGTCGTATTTTGTTTATCATCGCGATTTGGAGTCACTACCTTCTTGTAAGTCGATAGTCCGGCTCGTTTTTTGGCTCGATGCACGGTTGTAGACGATACACCCAGCTTATTTGCGGCATCTCGGAGAGAGAGGTTAGGGTTTCGCTTGAAACTACCGGCAACTCTCTTTGTCGTCTCAGCGGCTTCCGGTTTTCGATTTTCCCCCGATCCAGACTTCCTGGCTGTCGACAAACGTTCCCCAAACACTTTAATTACATTTGTAACGGTTGATTTGGCAACTTTTAGCGATTTTGCCAACTTTGCGTGCGAGTAGCTCGGATTTTCGCGATGCGCGAGCAAAATTTTGATACGCTGCTCTTCTTGCTTGGACGGCATTTTGACAACTGAAGAGTGAATTCCAAAATCAAAATAGGAGCAACATTCTACACACACACACCTTCAAAATGAGGGGTGTTCAGGTTTTTTAAATGCAAAATTGAAAGAAATACGTCAAGTTGATATTGACCAAATTTTGACCGTATCACCCTTTAAAACTAAACTAAACCTTAACTAAAACTAAACCTAAACTATTTAAACTAACTAAACTAAACTATCGACGGAATTCTTCTCTGAATTTTGCTCCAAATTATTTTATAGTACAGCAATGACCCGATTTTGTCGGCCCTCTTTTTGAAAACAATTCTTATGTTCAACAAAACCCATGCGATTTTTCAGTGGTCTTATTGCACCAAAGCATACATTAAACATCTATTTTGAAGATGAATGAGAATGATTTGGAATTACGGTTATGTAAAATTATTGAAAAATAAAAGTCTGATGCCCGGAGGGGCTGACAAAATCGGGTCATTACTGTATACCATATGTATATTTTTTCAATGCCCCTCAGAATATCCTTAGTATTCTCCTCTGAATGCTCTAAACAATGTCACCGAAACAACATTGAAATACAGTAGTTCCCTTGAAATTCTTCTAATACTCTTGAAAATTTTGTCGGAACTGTCTTTGGAATTCAACCCCCTTGGAATTTTTCCCGGAATTCCCTAGAAAGTCTTCTCAGAATTCTTTTGGGTTTAATCTCACCAATTTTCATTGCGTACTTTACAGAATTGCCTTTGTATCATAGGCGTGGAAGTGTAGCACTTTTTCTCACCAATAATTTTCGGATTCCCATACAAAGTCTAATTTCAAGGTGGTTTTTCTCCTCCTTCCTTTGGAAGTCAATTCAAATGAATTTGAAATTTAAGTCAGAACTCTATTGGAACTCGTTTGAAATTCTTCTGGAATATTTCTCAAATTTAATTGTAATCCTCATTAGCATGTCCTAAAAATTCTCCGATAATTCCCATGGATTTTAATATTTCGGATTCGTTTTCGATACTTTCAAAAATTTCCTGAAACTCTTCTCAGAATTCTTTTGGAGTTTTTCTTGGAATTGCCTTAAACAAATCTTCAAAATTATTCTCAGAATTCTCATGGATTTTTTTTCAGAATTGCTTACACACTTAGAAAAAATCACCGACTTCGGTAATTCATTTACCGAATTCTCAACAGCTGAACGGTCGGTAATGTTTTCGGTAATCGAGAAAATTACCGAAAAATTTGTAAACTGAATCAGCAAAATTAGCTGTCAAATTTACCGAACGATCGGTAGCGTTTACCGATGTGCATTGCTTGATTTATAGTTGACTTTACCGGAGAACTGTAATTTTGAGGACGATATGCAAATCGAAAATTACCGAGAGGTCTGTAATTTTTTAAAAAGGTCACCGACTCAACTGTAATTTGCTTTAATATTGTTTCAAGGTGGCGGTCATTGCAACCCATGCAAAAGTTTGGCTGCAGTCGTGATCAATAAGTTAGTGTTGCAAATTGCACCACCAATGAACAAAACCGTTGGCGACGATCTGAAAACTTAAGTTTTGTCGGAAAGATTCGGCGCTACACTGAAAACAAGGAAGCATTGGAAGAAGATTCCAAATGCTGTTTTCAGATCGTCGCCAACGGGAATGGAACTTGGACCGACAGAAAAAAAAAACAAACAACAACATCGGCCATCTGTAATCGGCATTTATTTAGATAACGGAAATTAATTATTTACGGGAAATATCTACGATTCGCTCATCTTGGCGTTGCCGCGGGCGTTGCATAACAGCCTCTATAATTTCACCTTTTTTATTTTTCACAAGCACGAACGCTTTTAATGTCGATCAAAAATAACAATATGGTGGATTTGACGTTTACCTAGACCGTTACCGAACTCAGTAATGGAACGCTTTGATAACCGAAACTTCAGTAAAATATTTCACCGAAGTCAGTGATGAAGCTGATTTACAGACCTGCTAGTAAAAATGTTTACCGTTTTCGGAAAATTAAAATAACATTTCCAAAATTCGGTCATTCCATTTACAGTTTTCAGCAATAAAGCGAGAAAATATCGAAACATCTGTAATTTTTGTATTACCGATCTAAGGCGGTTTTTTTTTTTACCGAACTCAGGGTCTCTGTTTAAGTGTGTAGTAGCTGAAATTCTAATGAATTTTCAATAAAATTTTCTAGGCTGTTTCATTGAATCTTATACAGTATTCCTTAGGTCTATTCCGATCTACCTTGGAATTCTTCTTAGGTTTTTGCAGGAATATGGAGTTCCACAGAACTACCTTGAAAGCAATCCTCAGAAAGTTTTGAAATGGCAGATATTTCAATGAAAGTTTATTTAGTAATTTGATGTTGACATTTTCTGTGACTATGAGAAATGAAGGTTTTGATGTCAGATTTTCTTCAATGTAAAATTATCTAGTTATTTGATGATTATTTGATTCTATAACTATGAAAATTACGAGCGCTATTTTTAACCTACAAATGAGTGACATTTATAATTAATACGAAGATATTATTAATTTGAATGTTATCTAATTAACTGAATGTACTTTTTTTTATTAATTTATTGATCAATCATACGACGACCACATAACAGAATCTATATAATCGGTAATTTGTTACAATTTGTTATATCTTTTAAATCAAATTAACTTACTTTTACCAGTTGAGTGAACAAATAAAAGTGTCTTTGTTGTTCAAATCTCTGCATGATATTCACGCAAATCTATCCTGTCTCTTGAACACTCATTAACGACATGAAAAGCCACTGCAAGAGAGAAACTACTCAAATCACATCCTACAAAAAAATGCATACATTGTAAGATGGGGAGTTTTTAGAAAGCACTTTCCCATTACCGAACTCTTTCTTCTCCCTCTGACTTCCAGCAGAAGCTTTTTTTGTCGCTCTATTATTCCAGTGTCCTGCTCATGAGTGATGCTGCAAATATTATTTTGCCAACGACACTAACAAATCGTTTCCCAGAGGAAAACTCTTTTATTCGCCAACAACATTAATGCTAATGGATCCTTTCCTGGAAGCTGGTTGTGGCATTGCAAATATGCATTCAAGATTTCGAATACATTTTACCTTCATAAATCATTTTGGCTGCTCGCTGTCTGTGGTATCGTTTACAGCTCCCATGCTCATCATACTGTTTGAATGAATGTGAATGCAAACTGCTTTGATTAATACATGCAATCTTGATCACACAAAACCTTATAATTTATCACCTTTCTACAGTGGAGGTTCCTGTGTATCCTCGAGTAATAAGAATTTTAAAAAGGTAGAGTTTAAAACTATGCTGGTAAAAGGAATCAAAGGAATCTTTCCGTCTGTTTTTAGCAGAAATCGTTGCTAAACGTTCTTGATTATTCATGAACCTTTCACAATACGTCCCTCATTTTCCGTGAATAGAATAAACACACTCACCTGGTTTCATCTTCCTGCTCCTTGGCAGAGGCGCTCAACCGGGGCAGCATTTGCACAAACGGTAGGTCCTGCTTTGACTCGGCCGGTGGACATCGGGGTGGCAGTATCTTGAGCGCCAGTGCATTGATAGCATCCTTATCTCGGCGAGCCGGAACCATTGCCTTCCATTTCTTGTAGCAGAGCAACAACCGCACGTAGTACATGATGCCGAACGGTGCGACCGAGCGTCTCGCCTGGTTGGCCAAGATCTGCTCGAATACCGGATACATCAGGGCTACGGCCCCACTGCCGGCCAGCAGATCCATCTTCAGCAGCGTGAGCGTGACAAACTCACTGTCACCGTCGAAAATGATGTACAAACTGCTCACGATCTGATTGCACTCTGCCAGCAGTACCGCCGGATTGCGCTCCCCGGCCAGGGCCGAGCATTTGTGGCGGATGTAATCAACCAGAACATCCATCACTGTCAGCCGATATCTCCGGGTCTCGGGCGGAAGCTGCAACGAAATACAAGGTGGAAAAAAACATAAGCCAACAACAAAGATACGTATCACCGGAGCACAACCTTCCCCCCTCCATTCAAGGATTATGAATGATAACAAAAACAAATATGGGATGATGTTTTACTCGCGGATGAACATGGGAACAAAACAAAAAAGGATAACGTTGTCGGGAGTTGTTATCCGAGAATATTGTGAGCTTTACAAATATATACAGTTATATACAGATTTTACTCCACTCATTGGGTTGAAGGTTGAAGGGGAGGAATCTCTAATTTCAATTAAACAGAATGGGAAGTTTGAGTCTATGCTGTTCACTAGAATGCAGAGCAAACATATTTCCGGTTGTAACCGGCTTCCGGACAGGCAGACTGACAAAGATGAAGACGCCCGCAATGGTTACTATTGCTCCACATTTAGGAGCGATTTAGTCATATACGGTTTAAATGTACGTATCATCTCCGGTGGAGAATAACCAACAACGGTGTGTTAATGAGTGATATTTCGGAGAAGATACATAGTTGGGCTTGTCAGTTGATTTAATAATAATTAAGGGTTGAGTTCCAAGCTTCCGCACTATTGACGTAGGACTGCTAGTTTGTTTTATTTTTGCTCAATTTAATAATAATTACAAAATTATTGATTAATACATTTTATTCCAAAATGAATAAACATTCAATATCCTTAATTGAATTCAGTTTTCATATTTATAAATTCAGTTCCTGTCCCATGCAAAACTAGGTTCCAAATATGTACAACCAGTTTTCAGAATAACGTTCGTTAACAGTTATCTGAGTGAAAATTTTACTAATTAAAATGCATTTCATATAACAAACAAATTTAAAGTACATATAAATAAGTACGTTGTACTATATTAAAACATTTTGATGTTGTTGACTGGAAACTGCATCTCATTTGAGATAATCTTTTATCTGTGTTCAAACAATCCAAATCTATCAAATAGCGAACGCTGTAATTCAATAAATTGAATGTCAATTAAATTGTTTCATAGGGTTACGGTATGTAATGTGGGTCTAGTCCTTTCATTCGGCCTATCACGCAAATAAATAATTAATTAAGGAATATTACACAAAAAATAAGGAAAATATTGATCACTGATGGTTGATAAATGTGTACCACACACAAATCAATTTATATCACAACATTTCAATACATTTTCAGCTCTCGTAAGTAATAAAACTGGTTGAGAATATCACAATGTTCGGAGTTTTTAGCCGCCATGACTTATAAGGTTAAGATGGGAAGGTTGACTGACGATCATCAAATGGCCTGATTATGGCATTTATTGATTGGAATTACCTGATAATACACACTAGACGTAAAACTTACAGTTGCTGTTTGAATATTTTATGTTTATTTTAATTGTTTAACAACGTTTTCACAAGTAAAACATGGACCCAACTTTAGGGACACATTTCTTTTCTATGTTCCTAACTATGGCCCATGAAATTCATTTGACAGCATATAGCAATAAGAGTAACGTCAACAATGTTGTTTTGCATTTGGATGATAAGGAACGAACAGGAAGGGAGATTTTTTCTGCCAAACCTGTATAATGAACATCACAATGTTCTGATTTAGATATTCTGCGGTCAAAAGACGATAAGCGAAATTTTTAATTTTTAATTTTTAAATTGAGTGATTTAATGTAGTTTTCGTAAAATTTTCTCTAAGAAATGTTTTGAGGAATGAAGAGCATTAAGTTAACAGTGATAGTGATAAAAAAAAATACATCAGAAAACGTTACCAAGAGCGTTTTTTTGAGGATCAAACAAGATAGGACGAAGTTGCATCCATAAATAGACCCAATTTGGGGACAATAGACCCATATTACATACATTTCCCTCGTGAGTTATTGTCTTAAAAAAAGTAAGTTTTTCAACTTTTCGTGGTTTCTGATAGCAAACGACATGATAAGCATATCTAAGCATACCATTTAGCAGTAGAATATCGTTTGCAGGTAAATTCATTGATGAGTTATGATTAAAAACGTAATCGATGGCTGCATATTAGACCGAGGTTAGGGACGTATACCCTATTAACATATTTTGTGAGTTTTAACAGATCTATCCTCGTTTACATAAAGCATATTTTTTTTTGTAATTCGTTTATTTGTACAGGCTCAGTCGAATAAACTTTACAGAGCCGAGATGTTCTTTTTCTTCAACAATAAGAATCTTAAAACTAGAGTTAAGGGGGTTTAACCGATTACTCGCGGTCGTCTCGAGGTTAGGGAGTTTTACAATTTAAGGATGGGGAAAAGTTGAGAGGATTACGAATTTTATTTGTTTTAATGTGGTAACTATTTCTAAAACACTTACTTAAATCTAAAGAGCTGATCATTTCAACATGAGATGAACATGAATACTACAGAAGGAATGTATATACACACACACACACTTTCTCGCAAACACATTCATCTTGACAAATATACCAAATTAAGAAAACAAACTATCTACAACCTAAGGTTAATGAATTTTAAAAATTCATATATGAGTTTCATATATTCCAAATCGCGCCCAGCCAAGATATCTCGAACCGGAACATTGGGTTGTCTACCTCGAGCCCGAAGGAATCATACAAATGTGTTCTGACTCCACGATACTCCGCACAAGACCAAAGGATGTGATCAGCGTCCTGGTAACCTTGTCCACATTCACAGAGATTGCTGTCTCCCAACCCCACACGGAACAAGTGAGCGTTTAGACAATAGTGATTGGACATGAGACGAGACATCACGCGTATGAAGTCTCGACCCAAGTCCAACCCTTTGAACCATGCAAACTTCGACACCTTAGGGATAATTGAATGTAGCCATCGTCCCAAGCTCCCTTCACTCCATTGATGTTGCCAGCTAACGAGCGACTGCTGACGATAAATAGAGACAAATTCACTATAGGCGATCTGTCGATCATAAATGTCGCCTTCCTTAGCGCCTACCTTCGCAAGTGAATCCGCCTTCTCATTGCCCAAAATTGAGCAATGCGAAGGGACCCACGCGAAGGTGATGATGAAAGAGCGCACGGATAAAGTACTAAGCAGTTCTCGTATTTTCAAGAGAAAATACGAGAAGTGCTTTACCGGCCTAATGGAACGGATAGCCTCGACAGAACTGAGACTATCCGTAAAAATAAAGTAGTGGTCTGGAAGAAGTGAAGCAATAGTTTCCAAAGTGTAGTGAATTGCTGCCAGTTCAGCCACATACACAGAACAAGGAGCTTCAAGTTTTCGAGAGGCGCTATGAAATTCATTAAATACACCAAAGCCAGCGGACTCCTCTATTAGAGATCCATCTGTGAAAAACGTTCTTGCAGAATCAACATGGCCAAACTTTGCAGCGTATAATGACGGAGCAATCATAGGACGATGATGCTCTGGAATTCCGCGGATTTCCTGCGTCATAGATAAATCAAAATTCACCGAATTGCCGAAATCGGAGAAGATTACACGATTGGGAATATTTCTTGAAGGGCTGACATCCTGTGTTAAATATAGGTAGTACAAAGTCATAAAACATGTTTGAGGATTTAGCTCCAGAAGCTTCTCAAAATTTTCGATCACCAGTGGGTTCATTACTTCGCAACGGGTGAGGAGCCTCAGAGATAACTCTGAAAAACGGACGGATAGTGGCAACATGCCCGCCAGCACTTCGAGACTCATAGTATGAGTCGAGTGCATGCATCCTAACGCGATACGAAGACAACGATACTGGATCCGTTCCAGCTTGATGATGTGCGTTTTAGCTGCCGACTGGAAACAAAAACTACCATATTCTAGAACCGATAAAATCGTTGTCCGGTACAACGTCAGAAGATCTTGTGGATGGGCTCCCCACCACGTTCCGGTAATTGATCGAAGGAAATTGATCCTTAGTTGGCATTTTCGTCTCAGATACTCAATGTGTGATCTCCAGGTGCATTTGGAATCGAACCAGACCCCGAGATATTTGAAAGACATGGAATGAGTGATCGGTTTACCCAAAAGTTGAAGCTTCGGTTGTGCTGGGCTATGCTTCCTAGAAAAAACGACCAACTCAGTTTTCTCCGTGGAGAATTCGATACCTAGCTGAATAGCCCAAGTAGACAAATTGTCCAAGGTATCCTGTAAGGGTCCTTGCAGGTCAACCTCTTTTGGCCCTGTGATAGACACTACGCCATCATCTGCAAGTTGTCTCAACGTGCAATTGTCACTAAGACAATTGTCAATTTCTCTAACGTAGAAATTGTACAAAAGGGGGCTTAAACATGAGCCTTGGGGGAGACCCATGTAGCTAAATCGAAAAGCTGTAGAGTTTCCATGAGAAAAGCTCATATGTTTTTCTGACAGCAAATTGTACAAACAATTATTCATTAATGGAGACAATCCACAAGCGTGGAGTTTCTCTGAAAGAACTTCAACGGATACTGAATCAAAAGCCCCCTTGATATCCAAGAACACAGAAGCTATTTGCTCTTTCATAGCTAAATCCAACTGAATTTCCGAGGAAAGCAACGCGACCAACGGAAACCAAATTAAGTATCTGAAAGAAGGTGGTTCGTCTCAACCCATTTGTCGAGGCAAAAAAGGATCATTTTCTCCATTAATTTCCGAATACACGACAGCATCGCTATGGGCCGATACGAATTGTGATCCGACGCGGGTTTATCAGGCTTTTTAATGGCTATCAACCTTACTCGTCTCCAATCGTCGGGAACAATATTGAGCTCCAAGAACTGATTGTACAAGTTCGACATGCGCCTCTTAGCGACGTCTGGGAGGTTTTTCAGCAAGTTGAACTTGATTCTATCAGATCCCGGGGCAGAATTGCCACACGAAAGGAGAGCGAGTGAAAGTTCGAACATTGAAAAAGGCTGACTGATTTCGTCTACCGAATTCGCGGTTTCGCGAGGAATCAACTGCGACGGCACGGAATCCGGACACACTTTTCGCGCGAATTTAAGAATCCATTGATCCGAGCATTCCTCGCTTTCGTTGTT